ATATTGCAAGATCTCATACGAGTTTATTGACCAAGTATTGTGTTATTTGGGTAAAACTTATGACACTGTGTTGTTTGTTGTGGGCACCATGTTGTTTGTTGTGGCACTGTGTTTGTTTGTTGAAAACAGCACATGTTGTTTGTTGTGGCACCATGTTGTTTGTTGTGGCACTGTGTGTTGTTTGTTGTATGGCACCATGTTGTTTGTTGTGGGACTGTGTGTTGTTTGTTGTAGCACTGTATTTGTTTGTTGTGCCACCATGTTGTTTGTTGTGGCACTGTGTTGTTTTGTTGTGGCACTGTGTTGTTGTTGTAGCACTGTGTTGTTTTGTTGTACTACCATGTTGTTGTTGTGGCACTGTGTTGTTTTGTTGTGGCACCATGTTGTTGTTAATGGCACCATGTTGTTTTGTTGTGGCACTGTGTTGTTTGTGGCACCATGTTGTTTTGGTGTTGTGGGACTGTGTTGTTTGTTGTGGCACTGTGTTGTTTTGTTGTGGCACCATGTTGTTTATTTAATGTGTACCATGTTGTTTTGTTGTGGCACTGTGTTGTTTTGTTGTAGCACCATGTTGTTTGTTGTAGGACTGTGTTGTTTTTGTTGTGGCACTGTGTTGTTTGTTGTGCTTGCTGTGTTGTTTGTTTGTAGCACTGTTGTTTGTTGTAGCACTTATGTTGTTTGTTGTATACCATGTTGTTTGTTGTGGCACTGTGTTGTTTGTTTGTGGCACCATGTTGTTTTTGTTGTGGGACTGTGTTGTTGTTGTGTGGCACTGTATTGTTGTTTGTTGTGGCACCATGTTGTTTGTTGTGGCACCATGTTGTTTTGTTGTGGCACCATGTTGATTTTGTTGGCACCATGTTGTTTGTTTAATGGCACCATGTTGTTTGCTGTTGTGGCATGTGTTGTTGTTGTTTGTTGTGGCACCATATTTGTTTGTTTGTAGCACTGTATTATTTGTTTTATTGTGGCACTGTGTTGTTGTTATGGCACCATGTTGTTTTGTTGTGGCACTGTATTTGTTGTTGTGGCACTGTGTTGTTTATTTGTGGCACTGTGTTGTTTTGTTGTGGCACTGTGTTGTTGTTATTGCCACCATGTTGTTTTGTTGTGGGACCTGTGTTGTTTGTTGTGGCACTGTGTTGTTTGTTGTAGCACTGTGTTTGTTTGTTGTGGCACTGTGTTGTTTGTTGTGGCACCATATTTGTTTGTTGTGGCACCATGTTGTTTTGTTGTGGCACTGTGTTGTTGTTAATGGCACCATATTTGTTTTGTTGTAGCACTGTGTTGTTTTGTTGTAGCACTGTATTTGTTTGTTAATGGCACCATGTTGTTTGTTGTGGCACCATGTTGTTTTGTTGTAGCACTGTATTTGTTTGTTGTGGCACTGTATTTGTTTTGTTGTGGCACCATATTTAGCTTTTGTTGTAGCACTGTGTTGTTTGTTGTAGCACTTGTGTTGTTTTGTTGTAGCACCATGTTGTTTGTTGTGGCTTTTCATGTTGTTTTGTTAATGGCACCATGTTGTTTGTTGTGGCACTGTGTTGTTGTTAATGGCACCATATTTGTTTGTTGTGGCACTGTGTGTTGTTTGTTAATGGCACCATGTTGTTTGTTGTGGCACTGTGTTTGACTG